GGAGCAACGTATCAAACTCAAATTTGTTCGTTAAATTGAAAAAACTTCAACTGACTGCTATAAATTGTTGCAAGAGGTTTATGGAGAAAATTATCTCTTTCGTGCGCGAATTGCTGAGCGGTGTAAGCGCTTCAGTTAGGGCCGGAAGAGCACTGAAGATGATCAGCGCCCAAGTTGCCCTGTTACTGTTTCAACTCCGGAAACAGTGACCAAAATCAACCAAACTGTTCGTGCAGATCGTCGAATGAGCATACGGATGATTGCCGAGGCTGTAAACGCTGATAAAGAATCGGTTAGAAACATTTTACACGAGAAATTACACATGACAAAAGTATGTGCGAAGTTAGTATCAGAAAACCTGACTCCTGGCCGAAAGCCCAGAATCAAAAAAGCAAGGATGTCATCACCAAAATTCAAAGCAATCTTTATCGTTTTTTTCGACATTAATGGTATCGTGATGACTGAATGATTTCCAGGGGGTTAGACTGTCAACCAGACTTACTATTTGTCAGTTTTGGCAACACTGCAAAAACGAGTTCGTAAGAAACGGCCCGACTTGTGGAAGAACAACTCATGGATTTTGCACCAGGAAAACGCATCTGCCCATAACGCCCTATCTGTGAGGCGGTATTTGGCTGATAAACGCAATCCAGTGCTCGAATACGCGTCGTACCCTCCAGATTTAGCACCGTGCGACTTTTTTTTGTTTCCGAAGATAAAATATGCTTTGAAATGGGCCCGATTTGAGTCGATGGAAGCGGTAAAGTAAAAAACGGCAGAGCTCCTCAAGGCCCTCACCAGAGAAGACTTCCAGCACTGCTTCGATCAATGGAAAAAACGAATGGAAAGGTATGTGAGGAGAGAGGAGTATATTGAACGGGAGCATTCGAATGTTGAATATTTTTTATAATAATACCTTTTTTCGTAACCAGTCTCGTTATTTAATAGCTGGACCTCGTAGAACACGGGTTTTTATTAGATTCAATTTACGCTATCATTTTCATTTCAACTATCTAATAATGTCATCACCAAATTAAATGTTGTCGATATTGCAAATAGGGCCACCCATTTCACGGCATGACAATATTTCTGATACTGAAATTAGACAAAGAGAAGCAAACTCCCCAATAAAGGATATTTAAGGGAGGGTAAATGTTAAGGGAAGCAGTGAATGGGCCACCAAGTATTTTAACTTCAAAATGATTCCATGTCACGTGCGACTGCGTCACGTGTGAAGCTACAGGTGGCAAGAAAGGGAGGGAATCCTCTGTTCATGCTGCAACGGGTAGTCTACAGTCTTGTATATCGTTGACTCGAATCCTTATCGTCACCTCCCTAAAATATCAACAATCGCGTGCGAGTCACATGTTACCCCCATTCGAGGGATATATTGAGATTGTTTCGAAGTGCGAGTCACAATATGCAATAATCCCAGTGAAATTGTTCGACATCACTGTGCTTTACGAAATATTCCAGTTACTCAAGATAGAATTTTGCTAATTTCTAAATGCTGTTGTGATCTAAAGGTAATTTTTTCATAGATTTACATGGGTTGAATATGTTGAATGTTTTTTTTTAATTCTGCACTGTAGAATGAGTATGAAGTACTAGTGATGAGTGTAATAATTTTGCTGCAAATGGTCCAATTTTTTTAAGAAAAAACAGCAAGAAATAAAAATATAACAATATCATTAGTAGAAATAATAATTAATTGATGGAACAGGTCTACTCTTGATGATAATTCATTACGTCTTCATTATGAGATATTCACTACAGTTTTACAAAAACGCAATTCGTGTTTCGCTATATAATAGCTTCTTCAGGCATGTCTTCACTAACTAAAATATACATATTCAATGCTTTATATATGTTTTACCATTTGAAGTACCTGAATTTCAAGTACCTGAATTTTACCTAGCCCACTGATGTTAAGTGTGTACCTGAGTTTCTAATGAAATGAATGAAATGACCTGAGCATATACCAGTCTCCACATTTGAAAAAATATTCAATAATGGGGAAGTTATTTGATTCTTTTCAGACATTCAGTAAATTGCCCGAATTCTTTAATCCATTCCTTTTTTAAACACCAGCGATAAAATTGGGGGATTCATCAAAGTATAAAAATGTCCTATAGTGGACGCTATCTTTTTTTGAATATGGGTAGATCTGATCCTTGGCTTGATAATGTAGTTTTTTTTACAGAATGGAGTCGATAGTACTACTTTGTAACCGTTGCGTTGTTGAACGATATTTGTTAGATGAAACTCAGCTCTCTCTGGAAATTACTTTTCGGCTCTTCCTTTAACTTCCTTCCTTTAACTTTCTGAAAAGTACCTCACAAACCGTATACAGAAACATAACTTTTCGAAATATTCAAGCCAAAACTTCTAGAACACCCGAATGTTCGCAAATCGGCTTCATCACCTGTATCTAAAATGAATACATCTGTAACATTTTCAATTAGGCTTGTTTCCACGGAAACTATCATAGAAGGAAGCGAAGTTGTATAGTTTGAATCCCTGCCCCGTTTTCAGTGTTTTTTCCTAAGACCACATCCACATGTGATGGACTAACTGAATTTGTTTTTCCCGAATGTAACAAAATGTAAGATTTTTGAAACACAATGTACACAATCGCTCGTTAGAACAATTTCTTGACGTTTGTTTATTTGACAAACAATTGTAGCACCAGCCAGTCATAAGGATTTGAATTTATCACATATACAAGTAATGACCTGCTTTTTGACAAAAAACTTAATTCACTCCATTCTTTATGTCGTTGATTCACCAAAAAAGATTTGATTGTCTTCATTTGTTTCTTATTATTATTCGACACCGATGGTGTTCAACCCCGATGTTAAATTTTTGCCTGAACTGGATTGAATCTACATTGGAAGTTGGAATTTTCAAACTATCTTGTTTCATTTCAAAAGCTCAAAGAAAATCGTGTCCTAATTTAGCTATACAGTAACATGAAATATGCTAAATTCAATGTTTCCACTGCCGAGATCGCGACGTCAAGTTTTTCTAGGAATAAATCAAAATTTTTTGCAGATCCACTTTGCAAAGGCTTGAAATAAAAAATTTGTCTGAGACATCCGTTTATTTCATTATTTTTTAGCAAGGGCCTGGTACAATATATTATAATTATCGTCGGTGATAAAAAAATCCCGCACAAACTCCTGAAGACTGTCAATGAGTCATTATCGTGAATCATACTCTTGAAAAGCGAATGAAACGTTTTCCACCGACGTATTTCTCCCGAAAATTCCGTTACTTTAATTTTAGGTATTGTAGGTAGTTTACCATCATTTGCTATAATATTGCCGTTGTTATCATTAGATTGATAAGATCGACCAGGAGGTATTTGAATCCCTTTTGCAGCCATTTGAATGTGACAACAAAGTTGAACAATCGTCGAATGAATCTTATTGGTACAAATTCATCATCTATTTCAAACTATTCTTGACTGATCTGCTCTAATACCAAATTCAAAGCTTCTTTAGTGGTATTGAAGTCAAACATGATATTTTGAAATCTTGAATTTCTTAGACCGTGTTCCCACTGTAAACATTTAAATATCCTGTATGATACTGGACCCATTTTGATTTTGATAATTCCAAATGAAAATCTTCCCAAAACCTGATGTCTGGTTGAAAACTTCACCCTTCACCTTCCGAAATTNGTACGGTAGGTATAGGGGCCTCAATGTACAAAAACCTAAGTCTGGTCAAATACATGCAGGTAGCCGCTCACTGGCTCTTAGACTATGATGGAATCGAACGACTGAATTCTACTCTGCACAAGCAACCTGAATATATCATTGTTGAATTATAGGAATCTAATTTCATCCTACAATCATGATTCGCATTAGAGCTCTTCACTATAGTCTCTTTATATTTCTATAATTCTCATCAAAATTCTCTAGCATCACCGTCTAACTCCAATTACATTATCAAAATCGCTTTGTATTCAAGATCATCCAGTTCTTGGTCTCTACTCCATCACTGTGACGTTACAACGATCTTCAGGGTACCGCCTGGTACATAGAACGTGGTACATACCATCATTTGAAAATTATTTTTAGAAAGTTTCAAAGAAAGTTATTGTTACTACCTTGAAAATGTTGGGAATGTGTGAAGGTGTGACTTCGAAAAAGGATTGCATACACGAATGAACCTATAAAAAAAACTTTATCTGCTTGATCTTGAGTACAGAGGTATTCATGTATTATTGAACCTGAGCACAGAGCATTTGCATACTTCTCACAAAAAAGCATGGGTGTCGAATGTCGCATGTATCAACACCGATTTGAATACATCACATCGCTTCGTGCCAGAGAAGAAAACCAGTCGGTGGACGAATGGCAGAACGCCAAATATTGAAATGACCTTCAAGGGACCGCGCTAGCAGTGGGTCAAGAGCTTTTTCCGACTTGCAATATGTCTTCCACCACTGGATCTCCATACAGACTGAACATCCCAATGCAAACATTTGTTCACCGTGGCATCTGCGTGTGTAGTGTCGGCTGGTGAGCGTTCAAGGATATGTGATTTGAGTTACCAGCAGGCTCAAACTCAAACTTCACACACTCATTCAATGCCATATGCCATGCGACGTTATTAGTGATATGGGGAGATTCATTGTCAATGTCTTGTGACGTGGGACCCCAGGTGACACAATATTTGCCATTTTTAAGGCCAAGTCACAGGCGGAGAGTTGAAAAGGGGTTTCAAGGTTATGACATACGCAAAAAAAGGTCGAGACATAGGCGGGGATTCAGTGGAAGGTATTGATGGAGAGTTATTGATGGGGGAATGTTTCGAACCATCATCAGCCCTCTATTATTCAGATTTTATGATACGTTACTTCCATTCATCTGGTAGTCAATTATTAACGTATACTTCATTGAAAAGCAACGTTCTATCCACCGCCCACTAACTTGATTGAGTGAAGAGTTCATGTAAAGTGGAAAAGTGATAATAAATAAAAAACAAACATATTAAATATTTTTATTATCAAAGTCATTCGAGAATAATTTGTGATTGTTTAATAATAAAATATGCTGCACTTCAAGATAATTTCGTCAAGGAAGATATGTAGGAACGAAAAAAATCGAAAAGCTAATTATATTAGCCGAGTCCTTATATATTTCTTCAAATTTAACATGCTTTATAAATATCTATGTTTACGAAATTTGAATCACTTCTCAGATAATCTTAGCAACTGAGACATTTCAGATGAGTTATTTCTCACACTGATGAGAATTTTGTCATATTAACAAATGAATTTTATTAACTCATTCATTTTCACTAAAGATCCCTTTCGTAGATCAAATTCCTTTTCGATTATATTAAATTCAAGTCATACGAATGATAAATCCACCAATTAGGCCATTCCATACAACTAAGAATGAATTGAAGACGATAAATACAATTAATTTTTAATTTAAATTGATATGAATTATTTCAACTGTAATATGAATCTTCAAAAAATTACCTTGTGAAAGTCTCCAATGATCAACAAGTGGAGATCTAAGCGTTTTGTACATTGCATAAAATGATGAGAGTTTTCCGACGTGAACAATATCGGAAAACAAAACTTCGTCACGTCACACAAATATTCATTATGTTCATTAAATCTATAATTGTTCTAAAAATCTCTATACTAATATCACTGTGCAGGGTATGAAAATTATAAATATGTACAAAAATCCCTAGATTCACACACAGTCGTCAAAGGCACATGCCTGGATTTTGAGTACACCATTCAGGCCACAGGGCCTCCGCGCCTATTCCTCTGCTCACTAACCTGTAAATAAATAAGAACATTTTGAATATACTTGACGAAAATCCAAGTTCAATATCAATCATGTTTTTCTCTACAGCGTTTATCAATTTGACTGTATTCGAAACAGTTTAAGAGAAATGAAAGGTTAAAGAATCATGAAAAAAAAATAGGATCTTCCAGAAAGACGGATTGTCACTGAATTGAAGTCAATCGATAATATCCATTTCTTAGAAGAAAATGTACTAATACTGAAAGTACTAGTATTCTTCCTATACACATCGGTATTTTCAGTCACCGAGACATCAAAATATGACAACTCATCGTTGTTCTAAATTTCATATGTGACATGTGTTCTCGATTTCATATGGGACAGTGGGTTGCCGTGTCTTCTTGCTGTCTGTTGTTGAACTGGAAACAATTCTGTTCCTTGCAGATTTTTGTAAGTTGTATGTATAATTCGATCACTTCTCCACTGAGACCATTGATCCTCCAAATATTCAATAGTTTTTGAAAACAACGAGGATATTTCAAATGAAACTGAAATCTTCCCTTCTCGCAACTTCACATCCTCGATTTCATCTATGAATTCATACTCGATTGTGAGATTGGGAGAAATTCAAACGGTTATCATTCAGCAGTTTTATGAGTACGGAAAATTCATTAGTTCATATTAATGGCTCTATTTAAATTAGCACTAACTTTCATGAGAAAAATTTTACCCGAAATCATTGATGTGTGCCTGAAAGTGAAAGTATATCATTAGATATAAATGGAGACCAGTTCTAGAGTTAGGAATTAGTATACTTTATCTCCTGAAGACGCCAACTTGCTTGATGAAACGCGCGTCGAGAAGAATTTTGCAGTTCTACTGTTTGGGCATTTCCTTTTTCTTCCACCTTTTTCTACCAAGGATTTCCTTCAGTTATATTGCTGCCATCCAAAAGTCCTTGACATTTCTTTGATGTGCTTCTCCAATCAGCACGATGGCAATTTTCTGGACATAATTTAGCAACCTCAGGGTATTTTTACAGATGAAGCTACATACAGGGTGTTTCAATTTCGATCCTCACCATTGGGATCTCGGAAACTATGATAGAGATAGATACGAAGATGGTTAAATTGGAGCAAAGTTGCGCATTTACCTGACCAACAATATGCCGTTAGGAAAGTTCTGAAATTCCGAGTATATCCGGAGATATCTTATCATAATAGGCTTTAACCTTGATGTTTCTAAATTTGACTTTCAATTTGTTACATTGAATGACATTTTGTTATTGCACAAGTCATTGAATTTTTGGCGAAAAATGGTTTTCATGAATGAAGAAAAAAGAGATATGATACAAATGTATTACAAATACCATAGTAACAGTGTTACGACATTGGAAATGTATTTAAACTTGTATCCCGAAAGACGATAACCACATCGAACTATGTTCAAGTTATTGGATCAAAATCTCACCGAGTTTGGTTCATTTGAAAAGCCGAGGAAAAAATACGGAGACAGAATGGACCAGGAAACTAAAAAAAATTTGATAAATGAGGTATGTATGAGGTAAGTTAGATATTGTGTCCTTTTCAATAAAAATTTATAATTTGCAGATAAACATGAACCGGGGAAATCTAAACGTCAAATTTCCTCCAAAATGAATATTTGTCATACATGTGTTTGGAGACATCTCAAAAAAAGCGGTTTGAAATGTTACAAAATACACATATCCCAAAAGGCGATTAGAATTTTGTAATTGGCCTGACCTAATTTTCCTGTTTTCCTGGAAAATGTTATTTGGACAGATGAAAGCACTTTTACGAATTGTGGGATATTCAACCGAAATAACGAACGCATTTGGAGCATAAACAACTCCAGGAAGTTCCGAGAAATTTGACCTCAAGTGCGATTTAGTATTAAAGTGTGGACAGGAATTTACAAAGATAGAATTTTGGGTTTTTTGACGACATTCTGAATGGAGAAAACTATCACCAGTTTTTAATGTCGATTTTCGAAGACAATTTGGATGATCTACCTTTGGCTAACTATAACAACATCTGGTTTCAACATGAAGGTGCTCCACCGCACACTACCAGACGAGTATCTAATTACCTGACTGAAAGGTTTGGTAATGAATGGATAGGAAATAATGGGTCGGTGACGTGGCCAGCAAGGTCTCCAGACTTAAGTGTTATGGATACATTCTTATGGGGTACACTGAAAAATAGAGTTTATGGTCAGAGGGAATATCGAAATATTGAGGACCTTCAACACAGCATTGTTAAAGAATTCGGAAGATTGAGAAGGAGGGAAAATAATCGTGTAGTGAATAATATTTGAAGAAGGGCACAGTTGTGTTATCATGAGTATTGCTGTGATTTTAGTTAATTATTGTTATTTGTTCTAAGTTATATTTTCATTGAAAAGGACACAATGTCTAATTTACCTCATACACACCTCATTTATCAAATTTTAATTAATGATTCTGTCTCCGTATTTTTCAAACGAACCAAACTCGCTGAGATTTTGATCCAATAATTTGAACATAGTTCGATTCGATGTGGTTGTCATCTGTCGGGATACAACTTTAAATACATTTGCGATGTCCTAACACTGTTTCTATCGTATTTGTAATACATTTGTATCATATCTCTTTTTTATTCATTCGTGAACACCATTTTTCGCCAAAAATTCAATGATTTGTACAGCAACAAAATGTCATTAAGTATAATAAATTGAAAGTCAAATTTAGAAACATAAAAGTCAAAAGCCTATTATGATAAGAATTAATTTTTTTCAATATCTCCAATTTTTCGAAAAAGAATGATAAATTATGTTAACATCATTGAAAAGGTAAAAGTCTGGGTCTATTAAAAACAGAAAGAATCCAATGTAGCGCCCATAAGAAAAAATGAAGTTGATAATGGTGACCGGAAAACGAAGCGTCGGATAGCAAATCTGAAAACATCATTATGTTGCCGGGAAAACGTGGCAATGTAGAAGTGCAATTCATTTTCGAATCCTTTGAAAAATAAAGCCAGAAAAAATAAACACCATTTTCCAAAATTTCTGTTTTTCTGGATATCTCTGGATATACTCGGTATTTCAGAACTTTCTCAACGGCACATTGTTAGTCAGCAACTTTGCCCCAATTCAACCATCTTCGTATCTCTCATAGTTTCCGAAATCCCAATGGCGAGGATAGAATTTGAAACACCCTGTATATGTGAGCAATATTCCAAAAATATCTGATTTGAACATTGTGAGTAACTTTTTAGTTTGAAACAATTTCTCAAGTTTTTAAGGAAAAAAGAACATAATAATCTCTTGAAATGAATAAAACAACAGGAGTTGAATGAAAATTGTAACAAGATTGATTACAAGATTGTAATCGAGAATCGGCTCATGAAAGGAGATGTGCATGAAATCTAAAAGTTGATTGGATCGAATTTGAATCGGTCATCAGGCCCCTAGTGGGTAGAGTGTTCCGAATATAATATAAAAATGAAAGAGTCTTCGAAACCTTAGTGTTTTTAATATACAGACGAATCGTCAACAACGCCAACGGATGAAAGGAATATTGATGTGCTGTTGGCTCCGCAGGGTCAGGCCCTAGAAATACTGCAGAAATTGTAAGGGTCAGCACAAAACAAATGCTCAACAACAATACTAAATATAAGTGAGCACGGACATCTGACTCTACCAAGATGCATGCTGGAAGATACAGAAAACTCAAACCTTAAACATCCAAGTCAAACAAGGGCTCCCACAGCGGATTGTTGCCGAATGGTGCTGACTTGTATGAAACGAACGAATTAAACCCCTTTTATAAATAGAATTTTATGATGAACAAAAAGCTAATAATATATTTTATCACAATAACGATTGTCCAGGACATATTTAGACATTTTTGCAAATATCAAATAAAATAGTTCCACTATATTTTGATGTTTTTTTTCAGGGATTATTATCCATTATAAATTGTACATCTAGAAAAAAACTTTTGGCTTTCTACTCCTTCATCCAACAATAACACAAAGATAGATGTTAAGAATGGAAATAAAAAAAATCATCAGAAACAACTACTTTCAAATATATGAACAGTGAATTATACGAAAATCACTATTTCACATTCAGTACACCAAACTTTCGTGATGGAGATAGTAATAGTCTTCAACTCATCATCAGCACCTTTTTGGTACACCTGAAAGATTATTCAAAAAGATGCTGATGAATAGTTGAAGACTGGTGTCTTTAATCGAAACTTCTAGAAATATATCTGAAAAATGTTTGTTACAAATCAAATTTCATTTCGATACTCTTTCTATTATATCATGTAGCATTCTTAATAATGAAATCTGTTTCAATTGCACTACGTAGGTATGTTTGGAGTACAAGCAAAGTATGTGATGAAATTGGCCGATACTTGATGATATGGATTTTTTCTCTCAAGTTACATTTTATTGGCAGATTTTTACTGGACAGTTCACAAAACCGCAACACGTCTTCCACTAGACAATAGTTTTTTCAGATATGTTCGTAAAATACGTGTTGCTGTTAAGTAAACTGTTTAGTGAAAATTTCACAATAAAGTGTTCCTTCAATATAAACAAAGCAGAGGGACGTTATTTTCAAGTTCGTTTCTGAAAATAACTTCTATGAATGATTCACACATCTTCACAAATAGTTTTTATTTATGTATTCTATTTCCCTCCCACTGTAGAAATAGAATGCCACAAGGTTTTTCCACAAAACTAATCTCGAAAAAAGTTCAATGGGCTACAATTCATTCAACAAATGGCCTTTTCAACTTCTAATTGTCCGGACTCAATAGACGTTCTCACGATTCCTCAATAAGTTTCCGGAAATAAATGAAAAATTATCCTTTATTTTAAAAAACTAACCTATCTCTTTGAGTGCTCAGCCTTGTATAAACATCTTCCTGGATGTTAAGAGTAGCTAAGTCCAGTTGAGGATCACTCCACACCCTTTCAGCGAACGCAGCCGCCCGGGGCCAGAGGCGTGCGTCAAGGGAGCCTTCGTCGAACTGCTCGCTCCAAAGACAGGCCTCGCCACCTATGATGAATTTTTTATCGAGATGCACTTGTTGCCAAGGTCTATGGTTGTAGACTGTTTGCCAAGGGCGATAGGGATCACAAGCAGCATCACCGGTTTCTCTCCATCTGAAATATATTATCATCAGTGAAAACATATACAGTGAGTGTTTGAAGTAACGCATTGCGAGCTGAATAATCAGTACTGTTGAAAATGTCTGAAAGGGATCTACTTTTTATTTTGAATTTCCATTTTAATACTTTTTGTGATTTTGGATTTTTAGACAGTTGTCTGTTGCAATTTCTTCCAGACGTTTTGCCGGCGCAAGTGGCTGGCATCTTCGGAGGTTTGTGGTTCGAAGGCTAGAGGTACACTGGTGCACTGATAGACGCAGGCTATATTTATCAATGGCTGGACAGGAGGGGGAGGTCATTACTAACTAGGCAAGACCAGCTGGTTCATATGTTCAGTTCGTAAAGTTGGTTAGTGGGAATTTTTGTATTTGATCACCATACTTTACAGAAGATCAAGTTTCAAACCTCTCATTTGGAAATGAAGAGTTTTAAAAACATCAAAGTTTATATGGAAGCCAATACATTATATATGACTGTATAGACAGATTTGATCTCAAGAACTATCAGACAAGAAAGGGCAGTTATGACAAATATTAGCATTCAAAGCCGAATATTCTATGAATTAACTTCTTACAGTAATTGAAAAAACTGTAGGTTATTCCGTCCTCCTCATTCATAGAGATGATAACAAGGATAATAATTAATGTCTTGATTTTTTTTAACTTTTGTAAACATTATCTACGAAGTGAATACAAAGATGCGATTCATTTCCCTATAATTAACGAAGCAAAAAGCAAAATAGTTCATTTTTGAACCTACTCACCTTCCAAAGCCACAGTCTAGATACCAGGCGTCCACATGAGAAATTATCACTTTGTATCCGTCAGCTATGAGATCCGGAGTATCAAGCCACTGGCTTCCTCCCCAACTTTGAACAACCACGTTTGACTTATCCAAAAACTTGTTGACATAAGGCCTTTTAGTAAGTTTACTAGACCACACTATAACGTGTGGAATTTTCACGCCACCATTAGCAGCGGTGAGTTTCTTCATAGCTTTCTGCATGAATTCTCCCCATAGTTCATGGAGATCAGTGTAATTGTACGCAGTACTTCCCTTCTGAAAGTGTTGGGCCCAGCACTCTAAATTAACTTCGTCACCTCCTATATGGAAGATTTCTCGTTCATCACTGAGATCAAGAAGGTCTCTATAAAGTTTCTCCAATACCTCGTAAACGTGAGGATTTTCGGGATTGAGCTGTCCACAAGGCGGTTCCCCACAATACAAGCTCCATGGACGTTCGTTAATACATACTGCTAGTTCGCCCAGACCTGTAAATTTGACAAGAAGTGGGATTATTATGGTTCAGTGTTCTTTATGTAAAAAGAAGTCCAAAATATAGTTTAATGAACTCTTCTTTCAGAAATTTGTAAATTAGTATCAACATCACAATTCAAATGATATATTTTGTTGAAGCTCATTTATGTTTAAGGTCGGAATAAAATCAAAATACTATTCCCCAAGTGTATCTACCAAATAAATATATTTTTCTGATATGAAGCGACACTTTCCAAAATTATAACCATATAAATAATGATTCTATTGACTATAGGGTGTCTCATACTCTGTAGGTCATGAATTGCCTGCCGAAACAATAATAATAATGACCATGAATCTTATGTTTATTATTTTTGTATTCCTGATACCATAATTGTTTTTAAAAAAAATCTCATGGGAATGTTGAAAATTCCTTCATTTCGACTGCTAATAATAAAAACCAAAAATATAAGTATATGATAACCTTTATGTATGTATACGCTATCCCCGTTAAAGGTGGCTACAGGTACTGAACCGGTAGTTCACCGATAAGGCTCGCTATACACCCTTAATGTCACTTCAATTAGAGGCTTTACATATCAGGATAAGAATATACTCGAGATCACTCGACAGTGACAATAGTCTTGCATGCTGAGTTGGACACCTGAAAGCGTGCTGAGATTTAGGTCTCATGAAGGGAACCACCCGTTTATTTTGGGTTCGACCGTACTGGAAAATCATACTGTGTTAGAAGCCTTCCGAGTCTACGTCGAACCCATCGTCGTTCTTTCGGAACTTGACAAAAACACTTGTAAATAGAGTTTACCATTTTTGTACAAATTATCTCCGATTTTTTTGTAAATTATTTTCAAGAATAAAGTTTTATTTTGTACCACCTGACGTGTCGAACCCTGGACATATTTTCTCCAACCGAGCTACACGAATAGAGAAAAGCAACGTGAACGGGAACCAAGTTACAGATAGAAACGGTGAATATTGATCCAATTTGTATAATTACATGTTTTCCCATATTTTGTAGAACAAGATTTTTTGCCGAAATCGAGACAACATATAACCGAAAAATAAACAATCAATAAAAAACTATAATTATCACAAATACAAAAATAATGAACGTAATTTTTTGAAGTCACTGACCCGTTACTTGGTGAAAATCAATAACACTATTTATGATAATAATTACAAATCTCCACAATATAGACAATATAGACTTTATTTCCAATGCGTGTTAACCTCAGTTGTTTCCTCAGCCAACTGAGGACTACTCCTTACAATAAAAAATAAAAGCCGTTACTTACCCTCTTTCGGTCCCCAAGCCCATCCATTTCCGGCATGCGCAGGCGTGTCGACCTCCAAAAGCACACGTATTCCCCTCATTCTTGCGAATTCCACCAAGGCTCTAACCTCTTCAGGAGAATACGTCATTTCGGGACCATAAGATCCAGACTCCGCCAGTTGTGGAACACTAGGAACAATCAATGGAAAACTTTGAGTATCACTCACATGCCAGTGAAAAACATTTAGTTTACTTGCCGACATTCCTGCCAGCACCCTCTTCAGGCTCTCAACTGACATGAAGTTTCGCGCCGTATCAACCATGAGCCCTCTGTAAGCGAAAATGGGACTGTCTTGAACCGTGGCTCCTCTGATGACTTTCAACATTCCTCCGTTTGCGTGCTCGTCCCACCATATCAGCTGAGATAGAGTTTCGAGTCCGTGTCTGGCACCGAAAAATGTTTTCGCTGTTATGTTGGCAATGACTTCATTTTCATGAGGCTTCAAAACTATGCTGTAGCTTTCGTCTGTGGTTAGTTTCAACCTAACCACAGCAGGCTGCGTGATGTAAACTCTTATAAAAAAAACTTGAATATCACTCTTTTCTAGTAAGTAGTCTTTTCTCTCGACTAGACTGACAACGTTATCGTTGAAGGTGTTGTAGGCTTGAATCAGCAAAGGCTGAGCTGGTCCAACCACGTTGCTTTCGAACTCTAGTTGAGTGTGTTTGAATGTGACGGCCCTACTCCCCAATGTAACGGGCCCTGTAGGTTGGGGCCAGAGTTGGGTCGAACCGCATAACATACTACATGTTGCAAGTGATACGGGCTGTTGCGATTCTTTTTTATGACGTTTCTCACAGCGCTGATTTACGCAATCCCATGTCCACTGGGAAGGGTGGGATTTCCTGAAACGAACAGAGCATTAATTTGAGGTTTGTGGAAATTGTTAGCTAATAATGCATTATTGCGAATATGTAATGGTCAGGAACACTGCTTATTACCAATTGTGGAGTTCACACAGAAATATTGATACCAAAATCAAACAAGAGCATACCACTTACTCAACGTTTTGTCTTATTTAAAATTTGAAAGAACAAATTTGTCAGATTTTTCAATTATTTGCTTCAATTATTGAAAAAATATCAGAAGAAGTCTGTGTTTGGATTTGTCGTTATTATTCATACGTACTATTCATTAGTTTTGACGATGAGTATTTAATTCAGTTCAAAGATTAGTCTCAGTTAACTTGATTGAGGAAAAATGCATGGGGTGATATAAAAAATGGGAGGGATTCTGAGTTGTGCCAAGATAAGTGGATATAGACTACCGCAGTTTGAATACAAAGAAAAGAACCGCAAAGGTAATGTAAAATTCAAGAGGATGAATTATATCCATCATTTTATCAAGTGTGCTTCAAAGATCGAAATTTTTGACCAGTAAAAAGTGTCATGGTGAAAGAGTTATGATAAGAATCTGTGAATATTTTGAACAAAGGGATCTAGTGATGTCAAATCTGAGAAATTGTGGGTATCAATAGGGCTGGAGATAAGGAGATCATACTGATAAAAACGTTTACTCCATCAACTCTTTTTCTCCTGTCGATTTGAAGCAGTTTTGTGATGTTGGGATCTCTGATAATGGAAACTGATTGTTGTATTTTCAAATCGTACAGACGTAAGGGTTGAGTTGAAAAACAGCTTTGGCTGACACTTCGCCCTTTCGTCATTAGGTCTTCTTCAAAAAATGTAAATACAAATAGGATATCCTGAATCTCTTGTGACGAATGAAGTCGAATATAATTATTATTATTATAACAGGTACCACTTTGATACCTCTCGAAGTTGAAAATGCTCATGACTCTCAAGGTCATCGTTAAATGAACATAAAAAAAAACAGAATGAATTCGTAACAGATTTTTATTTGAACATACAGATTATAGTCAGATCAATAGATTTATATGAATTAGATTGGGTACCCATAAAAAATTATGTCGAACTATTTGGTAATAACAGGCCGTAGATGAGCATGCATATAAAATGACACCGTTGAAAATCTCCTTCAATGATGTCCAGAATGAACACAGACATTTAACCAGAAGAAAACGAAAGCACATAAATATTTCGTGTTACAATTACATATTCTGTTAACTCTGTCAGGTTTGGAAGGAAAGCCAGACTTCAAGTTATGTGTACAAAGAGAAAACTAACAGTTAACAAAAAAATACCTATGAGTCGCGCCGTTATATTTTATCATATTTCAAGTTTAGCAGTAGTAATCTGTGCCAAAGTTAAGTGCCCGGTTCTCGACACTTGTTTTTTATTTGGAAAATTATGGACCCAATTTTGGTTGTAGAATGAACATAACTTAAATAATGTGTTCATCAAAGTATATACAAAATATTATAGAAACTTCAAGAGTGGTAACAATCGTTACATTAACGTCATGAAAAGTATGCAAGAAAGTGAGAAAAACAGTTGTATCACTTCAGGCATGTTATTCAATTATACCACCACTAAGTACTATATTGATATTTTATACATAACTCTTCAATGAAAAAAAAACAATAGAGAGTATCTGGAAAATATATTCCAGCACTGTACCAAGTCCAACCCAAACAAATCTTTATATGAAATAAAGGAGAAAATGGTTGAAAAATCGAAAAAACATGTACTTGATCGAAACTTAGTTGTATTGAAACGTTAACAAGTCTCCGTAGCATGAAATATACAGGGTGTTTATTGAACACGCGGCAAAATTTTAAGGGACTATTCTAAGGATATTTTGTTCTTTGATGATTTTTGATAGGGTGCTTTGTTTCGAAGAAAAAGAATTTCGACAATAACAATTTATTACCAAAAATTACATGTAATGTTTCTTAATCTACAAGAACTGTTGAAAATGACTACCCCTGCTCGGATTCAAGAATCCAATCTTCTCCTCATCGACTTCCGAACTCTTTCAAAAACACCAGAATCGTTTCCGATGGCGTTAAACCCAGCAAATTGAATGTCTTCAACCGTTTGTAGTAATCAGAATGCTGTTGATAGGTACCAACGGAATTGTTAGATTTTTTATTACTTGGTGGATCCAGCGTAGTAGTACGCTATACTTTTATTTCGGCTACGTTAATAATTTAAAAATGACCAAAATTTTTATTTTCGAAATTCTTTTATATGCCCCGTATCTTCGAAACAGAGCGCCCTATCAAAAATCATCACAGGACAAAATATTCTTAAAATAGTTCAAAGAATAGTTCCTTAATGTTTTGCCGCATGTTTAATAAACACCCTGTATAGAAAAATTGAATGTGAAACGTAACACAATAAATACAACGTATTTGGTGAGTATCGATAATTTATTTCAGGTTTTTCTCAGTTGAAAACTTCAAAACCTGATCTGTTATCCTTGTCTATGTGTGACTTGTTATTCTTTATATGTCTACATATATTGAATTAACATAGCATATAATACTGGCAACTCCTTGGGTTGGATCAAAGAGTAATTTCTGCCTTGAATTATCATGTGCAAATGTTGAATTCCACCATTTGGTAGGTTGGGTTAGTATCTCCTGCACTGACTAACCTTTCAATAGAAGCATTATTATTATCACATGTTCAACGAAACACCGATCTTTTCATAAACTACACTTCACGTTTTGTTCGCCACAAACTTTATTTGAAAAAATAGCACATATTTGGCTAACACAATAGCTTTTTCGTAGTGAAAAGGTATTAAAAGTTCATCCTTCACTCTTATATTTATTCACCCCACGTAATCACAATTAATACTATCTAATCAGGTACTTACTCGAATATAATTACCTAAAGTATCTTCACAACTTTTATATACCTAAGGTCCATCCTCAGTTATGATTACCTATAGCATATCATTCATTTCTTCATCAATAATAATACTGCATTGATTTATGAAAATGGTGATTTATTCAAATCCAGTTAGTCATTCATTTGAATGTTTGAATTTTTAGTTTATTAATATCCATTGCTTCCAAACGATTCAACTTCAAACCTTTATTTTCTGTGTTAAATTTTCGAAATCTTCTTTCCCAACGTATAACCTGTTCTATAAGTAATTTGAATACCTTCTTTTTTAAAAAATGAAGCCAATTTTTCTGTTGTTTTTCCAAAACATGTTGAAGTTTCATATTTTTGATTATCTGCAGCTTTAAATCCGTTGTTTACTGCAATTTGCTCAATCATAGAGTTCTTCACTAAAATTATCTATTGATAGAGGAACATTGACTAATGTGAATCATGCTATTATAAGATGCTGTTTTGTGTTGATAAGAATGAATAGAAACGCAATAAATAGTAATATCCGTATGTAATATCCGTTTGTGATAAATTGAAAAATCATGTTTGTTGTTCATTCTACTGATTGTTAAGTCCAACAAATTAATTGAGTTTGAATTGTCTGCCTCTACTTCAATAGTGAATTCAATGTTTTTATGAATTTTGTTGATATCCTCATGAAAAATATCTATACTAATAATTAGTAGAAGACAATTATTGTCTACTACCTACGAGAAGTACCTGTGAAACATATCAAAACGTCAACCACATATAGATGCCAAAACAAGAAATACTTAATAAAAGGATGTTCAAAAATAGACTTCTGTAGGTTATCCATGAAAATTTCCGCAACTGAGGAGCTCGACGGATTTCCCATAATTAAACCTTTTGAAGACGAATAAATGTTATTGTGATATTTTTCAAATGAAGTATAATCGAGGTACGGCCGAATCAATCAGAAAAAAAACCGATCACAATAATATACATATATGCATTGTTACATTAACGATGATATTCAAATTTTCGAATAGTTATATGAATACTGTGTTTACTTGTAAATTTCTGTCCTAAATAAATGAGTATACAAGAGTATGTGATAATTCACGAACCTGCATGGTTCACTGTTTTATTAGTGACACCGCTGAAAAATTCAAATATAAACCCTTCGTCCTTGAAACCGATGTAACTGATCACTTCACCATAATACAAATTATTAATCCTAAAATAGGTGGAGACCTATTTTAGGATTAATGAAAGTATGAACAAATATGAAAGTATGAACAAGTATACATCATTCACATGAACTGCACATAAATGCAATGAAACAAGACTGGTTAGAAATGTACTCTTCACAAAATGTGAATTGAGCAACTAACCAATTTATTGGAAAAATACAAAAAATAAATACATAAAGTAGGTACTAACGAAATCAAACTCAAAAAATAACAGATAAAGAGAAATTTTCGAATTACAAAGTCTTTGATTAAATCAGACGGAGAAAATTCACAACTTCATAGACAAAATCCAAACGTTGAAAATATCATCAATAACAACTTGAAACAAACGAAACAGATCCTAAAACTCTCTGGAAATCTGTAAACGATATTGCAAATAGAAGAAAAAACGAAACTGAGACTAGTAAAATAAAAAACAATGCGAGAATTTTCATTACAGTGCTAGAGGCAATCAATTGCCAACACTTTTAAGAATTTTTTAGCCATGGTGAAAATTTGAAAAATTGAATTCTGAAAAACCGAAACAATTACAACTTTCCTACAACTCAAAAATTCAACTTATTTATCTTACTAGATGCAACCGAAACCGAAATTATAGAAATAATCAAAAACCTCAAAAATAAAAAGCATCCAGAGTGAGACAACATCAAAGGAAATTTTACAATAGATAGTGGAACAACAATCAAGGAATATATCCAGTTGCTTTTAAGATTATTATTATCACTACGATCTACAAAACTGGAGAAAAAGAATATATGACAAACAATCGTCTCATATCACTTGTATCAAATTCCTGCAGAAACAGCTATAATCAAATATATATATTAGAAAAAACAACATAATCTCAGAAAGACTATTTGG